AGCAATTCGTTCAGAATTCCTTTAACCGATTCAATCAGTTAATCGAACCATTAACTCTCAGTTCTCATCTCCGATCGCCGTTTGGAACTCGGGAAACTCGAACTCAACCAGCACGAGCTTCTACTATGTATTGAAGCTCACTAGCAACCTTGGTCGAAACGTCCAAGGGAAGCAGACTCAGTGCGAGAACTGAGTGAGGCATCCTATCGCTACCAAAAGTCTCCACGTTAAACAAGAAGGGCCTTCCCTCCGTTTCTGTTATAATTTTCGATTCATTAGTTTGTAATAAGCTATTCTTATCAATACAAATGAAATCCCTGTTTCGGGAGATCAAAATTTACACCTACAATGGCCTTGAGTCATAAGTATAGAAAATTGTATACAATGTTTGATGGCATAATTGAGATGAGAAAGAAGTCGTGTTAGCTGACTAGAGTTGAGATTGCAAAGTTGCTTGATAATATCCAAAAGTAAGGTCTAGAAAAATTTGATATTCTAAGTATGGCCTACACAAAGTAAGAGATTCCTTAAAGAAAAAAATTTTCCTTAGAGAAAGGTCCGAAGAATGTACGTTGAGAATGAAGTTAAAAATTTTATTATCTTCTTTCAGCTACCTTACTTGCAAAAGTATAAAATCTGGCATAACTTAGATGTCATGCATATTGAGAAAAATATTTATGATAATATAGTGTCAACCCTCCTACAAGATGCAACAAGTCAAATGATGGCCTACGGGCTCGCCTAAAGTTGACTTCATTGAATATTCAGAATGATTTGCAAGCACAAGATGTTGGTCATAAAAAATTGAAGATGCATCCGTCTCATGTTACAATGTCGAATGACCAGATGACAAGATTTTGTGTGATCCTCAAATAGGTACAGTCTGCACATGGTTACTCTGCTAACATAACAATATCTAAGTGCAAGAGTGGTTACGTCTAAAGACTCATGATTAACACATCCTTTGTTATCAATTGCTCCTAGTTACATTTTGTAACAATATGGATTCTTCAGAAAATTATGCTATAAAGTTAGAGATGTGGATGAATTTAAAAAAAATTGAATCAGATATCCGAGTAACTCTATGTAATATGAAATATTCTCCTTTATTTTTTACAATCATGGTCCATCTTATCCAACATCTAGCAAGAAAAGCTAAAATCGTAGGTCCTGTTATTTATCATTAGATGTGTCCGGTTGAAAGGTTAGAAGTTTCAACACATTTATTAATTATATATGCATTTCTTATATGTACTTCATAATAATTAATGCTTTTTAAAATTTTAAGATACTTGGGTTCCATAAAACACAATGCTCACAATCGAGCTTGTCTAGAGGGTTCGATAGCAAGTGGCCAATGAATGCTTTTTGTTTGCGTCATGCTATGCATAAAAATAAAACTACACATGAGGTATCAACTAAGAATAAGAAGCATGAAAAATATCCAAGATCTCACTTAGATCAAATTTGTGCATATGTATTGGGAAATCTTGATACTTTTTAAGACTATCGAAGGTAACAAATGAAATTAGTAATATAAATGATAAATATTCATTTACTTTTAGTTGACCACTACAATCTCATATATTGCATTAATAGACGACATTCGGAGAAGCTTAAGAATGAAATAACTGGTAGGAATATAGCGCATAATATTCAGATGATATATAAAAAAGAATTTATGGATTGGTTCATAAATAATGTAATTGTTGTATAATTTAGTTTTAAAATTTTATAGTATAATTTTTCAAATTAAACTTATTCTAAATACTCCCAAATATTGTTTGACTTAGGTTGAAAAATAACTTCTTTATGGCATTACATTATCAAATGTAATTATTATTCATGCACAACGTCCTAACTATGAAGTAAGACATTATAATAAAAATCTTGTTAATGGTATAAAATTCGAATGTTAGAGAGCGATGATAGGAGGATAACTAAAAACAATAGGGTCATAGATCGTTTTGCTCAAGAATATTTTTCAAGTACAAGAGATCAGAACCCAATTCTAGCTGACATGCTATATTATGGCCATTTAAAGGACATTGTAAAAGTAATTTATAGTTTTGGTAAATAAAAACAATATAGTTACATAATGTTTAAGCTTTAGTGGTGTCTTAGAAAAAATGTAAATAATCATTATGGGTTTATACTTGTCAATCTTGAAAAAATATATCTAGGCGAGAAATTTATTTTTGTAGAATAAGTAGATCAGTGTTTCTTTGTGAAAGATCCAAATGTCATGACTGATTGGGTGGTTTTGTACAAGGAGCCAAGTAATAATATTGAAAAAATAATGAGAAAAATTAAGATAATTGCAATGAACCAATTAAGCCATCTGCTAACGTTTGGCAATACTACTCCTAGATGTAAAATGTAGCGCTTGATATAACTGATCCTGATACTCAAACTAACATTCTAAATTTTATTCTAGGTAGAGCCTCTAGCTCAAATGAGTAAATAAATAGAAGACAAACAATAGCAAATATAGTTAGACGATCTAATGGAAAATAGTTGTAATAGACATGAACTATGTACAATGCATTATTGTTTAAATAAGTTTCTGATAAAATAAATTGTAAGTAAATATTTATCTTATGTGCGCGTGTGTGTGTGTGTGTGTATATGTGTGTGTGTGTGTGTGTGTGTGTGTTGCAAATATGGAATGTGATGCTCTTTGGTGAGGACCATTACTGATCAGAGAGTAGTACCCTAGGCATAGGTCATATTTTATTATTTTTTTTATAATTTGATGTTCATCTAGCTTATATTGTTCCTTGGTTGGAGACTTGGGTTATACAAAAACTAGCCCCTTGGTGCACCACCAACACCATCCCCTTAGCAGGTATTAAGTAGTTAATATTTCATAATGATCAATTATAGTTTTTATATTAATTATCTTCTTTACTTGTGTAGATGACTTGTGTATACTCTAGTTCTCATCTTCTACATTTCAGACTAAATTGTGTCCCAAAACACCTGAGTTTTGCAGTCTACCCTTCCTTCCGGACTCGATTAAGTTCAAAGCTAAAGTAATGAAGAACTACTCACATGTGATGAGAAGTTTATAGGAATTGGCACTTATGATAGAGGCTAGAAAAGCCGCCACACTTGCAGACAAAAAAAGACAGATTGTGAATGGAAAATTTAATAATGCACTTAATCCGATCACATTTTTAGATTACATGTTATAGTATCATATTCTTGGCATTGTAGCTAATAATCCAGTCTACACAAGGGCAACGTGGTAGGAGCAAGCCTGAGTTCAAGCAACTGCCATGAGGCATGAGAGCCATGTTTCGGTGGAACATGGATGCATTGCATGTCGGGTCTTGGTCATCAAGATTCAATAATAATATCGAGATTCTCGTATGGAGAGCAAGCATCATTGTTCCTTATATGTGTGATTTAGGAGGGTTTTGAAACCACAATGAAGGAGGCAGCAACACTGCACATGTCTTAGGAGGAAACAAAAGGCGAGCCAAACCCTCACATGCTATCTTTAGAGGATAACATCACTCTTAATCAGAATCTATTAGGATATAATAGGAGAGGAAGATATCCATTACATGATATTGGAGTTTCATCGGGCTTAACCACAAGATCCTTCATGGCATCCTCAATGTCATCTACTGTATCGATAGTATCATCATTTAATATTTCTACTATCCACTTGTTCTATGTGTCTCAATCAACTTGCGTGGGAAGATCGACTCAGAATTAAATGTTCAGGTGATTATGGAGTTGACTAGTGTTGTGGCAAGGCCCGCGCGACAGACGAAGTCATGGCCCACTTCATAAATTACTTGGCCGAAATGATTCTTATTCTGTGTTTGATGATGTTATACCCCTTTTGGACTTAGGCGCCAGTAATACTGGTTTTAGGCAAAGCAGCGCACATATATGTTATTTTTGCGTTAATACTATGTTCTTGTGCCTATGAGTCTATTAAATCTTCTGTAATTACATATTATGCCCATGAATATAGAATATTGCATATTGGTCCCCAATAATATTCAATAATTGCATATTGTTCCCATGAAAGTGAAAATCCTAAAGAACTAATGCTATTGCATATTCGTCCCCAAAAATAATCAATAGTTGCATAGTTTTCCCATGAAAGTGAATATCCTAAGGAGCTAATGCTAAATTAAAGATTTAAGGGACTAATATATAAAAAACCATTTATATTTGATATATTATAAAATTTTACATATTATTAAATATAATCAATTTAATCTTTAGGCTGGAGATATTGGAGGAAGTAGTAGCGGTGTTCGTACGAGTGATAAAGAATTGTTTTGGGAGTGTTTGGTTTGCTAAAAAAAGAAGGAAATCAAAGAAATGAAGATGAGTTGTCACCTTATTATAGGATGATGTGAGTGATTTTTTAAGAAAACTTGTTTTGATGTTGTTTGGTTGGCGAAAAAAATAATGAAATAAATTATAAGAAACCTATTTCTTGTAATAGGTTGTTTTTTTTTTTGCTTGGTTATTTCTTAAAAATAAGAAAATATATGAGATGAGATGAGTCGTCATTATATTATTGGATGATGTGACCCACACTTAAGGAAATTATTTTCCTAGCTTTTTGGGAGGAAAACAAAAAAATGAAATGTTAATGAGATGAGATGAGTTGTCACAATCTTATTGGATAATGTGAGTAATTTTTAAATATGAGATGAGATGAGTTGAGTGATGTTGTGGATAAAAATAATATTTTATTAGATGTGGTGGATGTGATGGATGAGTTGTTGGATGAAAATAATATTTTATTAGATGTGATGGATGAGTTGTTGGATAAAAATAATATTTTATTAGATGTTGTGGGTGAGTTTTAGAGATGGAAATGTGTGAAATTGTACTTTTTGAGTTTTTTTGGTTTGCATTTCTATTTTTTGGTTTTTTAGGAAATAACCAAACAACTCCTTAGTGTAAAATATATAGGGAATCAAAGGTTTAAAAAAGATTCTATAAAATTTAGCAATTAATCAAAAATGTATAGGGAATCAAAGGTTTCAAAAGATTCAGTAAAAGTAAGCAACCTGGACAAAAATTTCATCTAAGAAGATATCCTAGACTAAATTGCCTTATAGGTTGCTATAAAAGCAACCTAGATGAAAATTCCGTCTAGGTAGCAAATTGACTTCTGTCTAGTTAGACCAACTAGAAGGAATTCCATCTTTATTGAGTCAACCTAGATGGACCTTTTTAGATGGATTTCTGTCTAGATTGATCTACCTAGACAAAATTCTAAATAATTTAGATTGTTTTTTCCATCTAGGCTGGTCATTTCTACTAATGAAGAATATTAGTTCAGTTAACTAATTGTAGACATCCCAACCTCTCCAATTAGGAGAGAAAATTCTACAAATATCTACATAAGGATTCATTACAAGTCATTGTGAAGATGAAGAAAATATTAGGAAAATAACAATTCAGAAATTATGTGACAGATTTTCAAGAGAAAAGAAGTATATATTTAAAATCAAGACATGCAAAACCATGGGTGCCAGAGTGACAATGTGTTTAAAAGAACAAGAAGAAATAACACCGTAGAGAGAATTTTCATAGAGAAATTAAATATGAAAATAAAATCACAACTGCATGAATGGGTGTCATTTGCATCAATGTAATAGCTCTAATGCACATATAAATTCTTAGCCCACTTTAATCCACCGAATTAATTTTAGAAATAAGAAAGAAAACAATCTTTGTACATGAGTTATGGGTATATTTATAAGATAATGGGAAACTTAATATAGAAAGTCAATAATAGGTAAGAAATACAAGGACATAATGCACTACTAAATACCTAAAATATGGACTAATTTATATTATATCCTCATATACTTAATAGATTTACCACTACATTCAACATCCCCTTCAAAGTCACAGTGGGATCAAAATCGTGAGTTTGGATATGATGAGCTAAAATTACAATATGTTTAACCATTGTACTAATAATCTAAAGTTGTGGTGAGAGTTAAGGATATTTTTATATCGTAACACTCAATAAAAGAGTCAAAGCGCGATGAAAAGAAAAACCGAATGGTTGTAAGATCGATGTCATAGGACAGGTCGATGGAGAATAACTTGATATTGACGAGATTAACGGCAAGAGATAGTAATTTTTTATATTAATAGAGAAAATCTTAGTAGCTGCAAGATCAAACAACGAGGGATAGTAGGTCCTTATATATTGATGGAGAAATTGTTAGGAATTGATGATGAGGCCAAGAGGAAGGAATTGTTGGGAAGATAATCTAAATAGGTGATGTCGATGTTGCGAGAAGGAAAAATCCTTTTGTTTTTAACTCAGAGTGAAAAGGAAAAATCTTATAATAATAAAATTAAAGACAAGACTAGAAACCAAATTTTGAATATGACGGTAATAGGCCACCATAGGGAAAATGCTCAACGTAAGGGACTAGAAGCAAGATAGCATTTCATGGGAAATAAATGGTGAGGAGAGGCTAGACATGGAATTGACGAATAGTGATCTATAATTGTCATGCCCCATGTCCTAGAAACATCACGCAGAAGTATACAGTCGGTAATAACATCACTCAGAAGCATATAGTTAAGCCTAACTGAGGATTAGTATATACATATCACTACAACAAATTACACTTTTCCCGACGCTTATTCCCGACGCATGGTTAAATACGTCGGCAAAAATTATGTTTTTCCCGACGATTTTAGTTAACATCGGCAAAAATTATGTTTTTCCCGACGGTTTTAGTTAGCGTCGGCAAAACATATATTTTTCCCGACGTTTATAATTAGCGTCGCTAAAAGTGTATATTATTAGCGACGTTTTAACTTAGCGTCGGTAAAAGTGTATGGATTTCCCGACGTTTTTTTATTTTCGTCGGCAAAGATATATATTTTTAACGACGTTTTAGGGTTAGCGTCGCTAATAATATGTATTTATCGCGATGTATTAGGTTACCGTCACTAAAAGTCACTTTTTCCCGACGGGCCGGCTTTGCGTCGCTGAAAGGTATATTTTTAACGACGCGTTTTTATTCATCTGCGTCGCCAAAAAATCGTTCGTTCCCCCCTAAAATTCCATTCCTTCCATCGTTCCCCCCAAAATTTCATTCCTTCCATCGTTTTCCCCCCAAAATTTCTCTCATTCCCCCCTAATCTCCTCTCTCTCCTTCTCTCTCTCTCTTTCATCTTATCACAGCCGCCCCATCCCGCCGACCTCCTCTCTTACTCACTCATGTCGATTGCAGTCCCTCACCGGCAACTCTTCATCGGCGGAGAGTGGCGGGAACCTGTCCTCGGCAAGCGGATCCCGATCATCAACCCGGCCACTGAGGCCACCATCGGTTCGATTTTTGCCCCTTTTTAAAGCAAAATTAGGGTTTCGATCGGCGTTGTCGACTTTGTTGTTAAATAATTTTTATTGCTTGTTTTCCCTTTGTGCTTTCGTAACCTCTTCATGATGCTTTGCATTTTTGTTTTGCAGGCACAATTTGCTCAGGTTAGATCTCCTGGGCCTCTGAGCCCAGCAATGCCAACTATGGGCTATCATCCAGGGTTTCGGCCTGGTGTTGCACCAAACTTCATGATTCCTTACCACCTCCAAAGACATGGACAACTTGGCCATCGGATGGGTATTAGGCAAAGTGGGGTTCACGAACAGCCCCAACCGGTATTTAGCTGCAACATTTCTATGCTTTTCTTCTTTTTGTTCTTTAGTTTCCTTTAAATGATATGTCCACTTACTGTTAATGTTTTGTCTATACATGGATTAGGCTAATGGATTACTAATTCTTTTCTGATTAGAATCAGATTTTCACCATGTAAAAGGTGGTGAAGTGGGCGGAGATCTTGTTTCTTTACTATTCACTAAGGTTGAAGGGCATTTTATTTCAACAAAAGGATCATACTCATAATCTACCTTTGAATTTATAGGCTTGTCACTGTCTTTATATAGAAAAGCATATTTTTGCTTGGGTTCTAGCCTTAGTTGTTATCGTAGTATGATTAGCCCTTGGAAATATGAAGATTCAGGGGAAATTAGGAAAGAATTTGAAAAGAAAAGCGTCTTCAGTAAAATTAAGTAGAGAATGAAGACCGTGAAGTTGGTGTCTTGACGGAAGCCCTTCCTTTTTTTTCTTTTCCTGTGTTATTTAGTTAAGTTTAGGGGTTTCTTGACGGTTGGGGTTGTTGTTTTCGTTTTGATTGAAGGAGATATATCGGCAGCGACTGAGGAGGATGTGAATCTTGCGGTAGAGGTGGCGAGGATAGTGTTGAAGAGGAACGGCAGTAAGGAATGGGCTCGTGCTACGGGAGCTTTTCGTGCTAAGTATCTCCGGGAAATTGCTGCTAAGGTAGAGATTTAAATGTTCCTGTTTTTCAATTTTTTTTCATTGATTGGTGTAGTGATGGTTATGGATCTCAGGTCTTTGATATCTCCTTGGGAGAAACTTAAAGAGTAAATTCTGGTTGTTTACTTGGCTGCTCATAGAAGCTTTAATCAAAATATTGCCAGGTAGATCTTCTCTAAAGAGCAGCAAATATAAGATATTGGGCTTTTTTTCAATTGAAAATAGCTATGCGCTGCATTTTGTTTCCCTGTACATTACATGGGGAACTGTCTTTATCTCAGTAAACTAATAAAGGACAACTCAAGTTGTTTACTTTGTAGAATTAACTTTAGCTGAGTTTCCTTATCCCGTAATTTGTAAATGTAACTAATATAAACATCTTATTTGTTAAGAGGCACTAATATCTGACCAGTGCTGACTATCAATACAAAATTGGTTTATCAACAGCTTTATCTAAACCATTCCTCAAAATATGTGGTCACTTATGGAGCACAAGGTTCCAGTGATGGTTAGAAAATTTTTTATGTTTGCCTTTTGACTTGGCATCAACAGCCTGTCATAAAGAAGGCAATGATGATTTTCAATACAAAATCACATTCATATTTTGATGAACAACATAACCGAAGTCATGTAATACTATGTCTAAAAAAGATGGTTTTTTCATCAATATGTATGTATTCAATTTGATTTTGTTTAAAATATTGTAGACAGTATCTGCAGTAAGGATGTTTTATTTCCACTTGTTTACTTCCTATTGTTTACTTCCTATTAAAAGTGGATCTTTTTTTTTTTCTTTTACTTCGAATTGTTTACTATCTTTTGAGGTGCGCCCTTTCTACTTTCTTTGGGTTCAGATAACAGAGAGGAAGTCTAAACTGGCTAAGCTAGAGGCGCTTGATTGTGGGAAGCCTCTAGATGAAGCAGCATGGGACATAGTACGTCTGCTGGTTTTCACAATCTAAATCAAGTGTTAATACCTGTGAATATTCTGTGTGCCTTGTCCAGGATGACGTTGCTTGCTGCTTTGAGTACTATGCAGATCTTGCTGAAGCCTTGGATGCGAAGCAAAGAAGTCCTGTTTCCCTTCCCATGGATACATTTAAGTCCTATGTTCTTCGAGAACCAATTAGAGTTGTTGGGTTAATTACTTCCTGGTATATGCTCTAAGTTTGCTTTTCTCATGCATATACTTATATTGGAATTTAACATTTTTTAATTTCATTGCAGGAACTATCATTTATTAATGGCCACGTGGAAGGTTGCTCCTGCCTTGGCTGCTGGATGTGCAGCTGTACTAAAACCCTCTGAACTTGCATCAGTGTAAGACTTGTGAATAGCTTACTTTACCTTTTTGAAAAATTTGGACTCCCTGTCACATTTTTGTCACCAAGACTTGCTTAGAACTTGCTGAAGCATGCATGGAAGTAGGACTACCTGCTGGCGTCTTAAACATAGTAACAGGATTAGGGCCTGAAGCTGTTGCTCCTTTGGCATCTCATCCTCATGTTGACAAGGTAAATCGTTGTTCTCGGTCCTAGTCCTGTTTCGTTATTTTGAAGTTACAGTTGTGTTTGGTGGGAATGAATTGATTTTGTCTTATAGATTGCTTTTACTTGTAGCTCGGCAACGGGGAGAAATGTCATGACGGCTGCTGCACAATTGGTGAAGGTTCGTTAGAAGTACAAAACATGAATTTTCCATTGTCGTGATTGGATCCTGTTTTGTGCTTTTCGGACTAGTTTTGTTTGATGTGAAGAATTCATCATCCTATCCATTAGTTAGAAATATGCGGAGCAGCTATATATATGTAACTGGTAATCTGACGTTGCATTTTCTCTAACAGGAAATAATCAAAGAACTGATGGAAAGGCTACTACAGATGAAAGAGCTTATGGATATGTACTATGGCCCTGATAGAGTGACTGCAAAGCAACAAATGCAGGAGTTAGACAGAGTCGCAAAAACTCTACTAGAGAATATACCTTCATCTGTGAAGAGGTTCATTGATCGTGTCGTTCTTTCACTTCAAGTTTTCTTTTTTTCAACTTAGTTTAGTTTCATGTAAATCTTATAATGTGTCATTCTCTGAAATGGAAAACACTGAATATGTCAAACTGGAATATTTAAACAAGCCTTTGAGTGTTGACTTGGAAATGGAAATGAATGTAATTATTTTGCAATGGGAGCAAATTCTTTGTTTATCATAATATGCAACTTGTTTGAAGTATAATTTGATGTTTGGTTTCTTTGTTGATGTGAATGAGAGTAATTTTTTTGTGGATGTTCAGGTTCAGTATAGGCTTGTAGTTGACAGAAAAGATATTACTTTTGGCGATGCAAATTAGTGTCGAAAAAATTATACTTTTTACCGACCCATAATATGCGTTGCCAAAAATTATACTTTTGCCGACGCTATCTTGCGTCGGCAAAAGTATAGCTTTTGGCGACGCAAGTTAGCGTCACCAAAAGTATAGCTTTTAGCGACGCTTCACTCTGCGTCGCTAAAAGCTGCACTTTTGCTGACGCTAACTTGTGTCGCCAAAAGTAGAGTTTTTAGCGATGAACAATTTTGTGTCCCTAAAAGTTATACTTTTGCCGACGCATAGCTTTTGCCGACGCTGCATGCGTTGCCAAAAGTACACTTTTGCCGACGCAAAATATTATGTGTCGCTAAAAGATATACTTTTCCCGACACATGATGCGTCGCCAAAAGTGTACTTTTGGCGACGCAGTGTATTTGCGTCGCCAAATACTTTCCTTGACGCACTTTTGGCGACGCGTTAGCGACGCTGTATTTTGCGTCAGGAAAGATTTTTCCCGATGTTTTTTTAACTTTTGCCGATGTTTTTGTTTCGTCGGCAATGTTGTATTTTGTTGTAGTGCATCTCATCCACTATTCTCACAACAGAAGAACAAAATCATACATAAGAACAATTACAAGCAAACTGATATACTACAATAGCAAGTATACAACACAAATATATAGTGGATGCAAGATATTCAGCAAAATCCCACCGACAATGAATAACATAAAAGATATCATAACTTTAATATCAATGTCATTATAATTTATCACATAATACATAAAAGAAACTAGGCCGCAGGGCCACACAAGTTTGAGTCAACAACCTGTAATAGTTATGTACATCAGAGTCATTACATAACAATGAAAACAAAAATGAACATGGATATATAACATAGTTTGGTAACCAGAAGTTGAACATAACTTAATAAACAAATAGTCAAGCTAGTCAATGATAAATCTGTCTATTTAAGGTCACTAAACTCCAGTGTCATTGAAAGCGTGGGTGGAAGGTTGGGTTCATCATTGGTGTGCAAATGAGGGAGTGGTTTGTGCATGGGTAACATGTATCATGAATGTGTGACTAATAGAAATGTAAATGTAAGAAAGTTTATATAACTCTATCACTTTGCCTATTTTCATGAAAGGAATGTGCATCTCAAAATCTAGACTATGTAACAGATTAAACAATAACCAAATTATCACAACATAGATATATCAACGAGAGTACACCTAGCTCCTGGACTGTGATGCAAATATAGTGTGTGTACCTAACTACCCTTAAATATTACTTAATCTTTATTAGGAAAAGCTCTCACGAGATAATGTGTGTTTGGTGTTCTCATTGGATATATTAATTATATTTTTCACTTTACATATGGTTTATGTGTATAGACTCATCTGGCACTAGTGCCCAAAACAAAACCCTGAACCACACATAATATATGAGATGTCTAAATGTCTCTCATTATCTAATTCAAATGAACATTTCCATCACGTAATTATATATGATATGCTATGCGTTGGGCTCAAATAACTCAAATTATCAGGAAGGTGTCGTCTTCAACTAGGTTTCCAAAGCAAATAACTGAAATAAGACATGTCCATCAAATACCATAGCAAGCCATTATTACATAATGCACGTGGATACATCATGTGCCTAATCATGCAGACCTATAGGGCCAAGTCTCATGATAATGTATAAAGCAAAAAAATCCAAGGTACAACATAGGCCATCATGTATAATATCTATGAATTATAGGTCATAACAAAGCATAACATTTTATGGTAGGACCATATGGTAAAATTATTTGATAACATAGTACATCAAGCATTACTTGCATGCTTAAATATAAATATATCATGAATTCGATAAAATGATCATAAAAAATGAACATACAACCAACAACTAATTTATCCTCTACTATATCTCAAGATGGCAACAACAAGCTTAACCGCATAACTGATATCATAATTCATGAAAGAAAACTGAAGAATTGTTAGAAATAAACTCAAATGGATCAATTTCTCAAAATCAAATTTATTGAGAGTGTGCACTCGGAGGTTGAGTGCTTGCACCCACTACAATACCACATCAACCAAGTTCTGGTAGCAGACTAATAAAAATTCAAAATAGAAAGTCAACTTCAAATAACTGCTTGAGCACATATACTCATGGTGTGGGAGTGTGCAATCAAACAATATAAAATAAACTGTTCTTGAGATTTCATTGAGCACGTGTGCTGGTCAGGTCGAGCACATGCACTTGTGTTGAAATTTGTGATTCCCAAAACATTTTTGACCAAATACTTCCTCGATTCAAAATCAATATACAAAACCAACTTTAACTTAAGTTTTATACTTTCTAAAAGGAAACTATTCCACTAGTTTTGACATTGAAACATGAAGTATTCACAAATCCACTATTGGAGCTCGAGGGCTCACAATCCAAACCAAAAATAGGGAAAATCCCAAATCCAAGTTACTTATCATCATCAAAAAACATCATAAGAGACAGAGATGTCATACTACACAAAAACCCATGAAAATTTCATCAAAATATGGATTAGAGACTTTATATTGCAAAGGTATCATTTATTAATAATGACGAGTCTTTCTCCTTGAAAGAGACAAGGGATTGAGATCTACCTCTTATAAAGATCATCTCCTTGATCAAAACCCACAAAAATCTAAAAGAAATCTAATCAAAACAAAACTTGTATCAAAAGCAAGAGGACAAAATGTGTGCCTTGATGTGTAGATCTTTCTTTTCTGGGCTTCTAAGCTTTCTGAAATCTCAGCCTTAATCTTTTGTGGGAGACAAAATGCGGCTTTTATGTGAAGAATTATGAATATGGCTATGAAATAATGGATACCCCTTTTATTTGATCCAACTCAATAAGATAGCATGCCACCATGCTCATTGTTTCACTCTTAAATCCCAAATCACTATGAAAACCCAATGAAATAACTTTTAAAAGTCAAATCTTGATTTTTAAATAAAGATAAAATCTATATACTATATCTAAAAACAGTTACCTCTGAAAACGCCACTTGGCAAAGAATACTCATCCCATTGAATCTGCCACCTGGCGTCGTGTTTGCTCCAATAAAAGCATCGTTCTTCTCTCCGCCACCTCAATTTCCAATACTCTGTCGCTTCGTTCTTAGCTCCGCCCCCTCAGTTCCCAAAGCTCCGCCACTGCATTCATAGCTCCGCCGCTTCGTTCTTCTCTCCCCAATCTCAACAATTACTCCCCCCCCCAAGATCTCCTTTCACCCATAGCCCTTCTTTCCCCAGTTCTTCATTTCCCAAGATCGGCTTCGTCTGTTCGACTCCCCAAGTCGTCTGTTCGACTTCGTCGCCTAGAGAAATCGTGATCTGCCTCGATCACCCAAGCGTCTCCGAAGGATGCTACGCATATATAGAAAGCCTCAGGTTCTCATCCCCACCTGTGTTATTCCCACAGAAGACTATCGACAAAACCCTTGGCGAAGGCTGAAATTGGTCGACGGCGTCACTGGAGGAGAAGGTCGTCAACGTGCACTGGTGCGTCGAAGGGTCAGTTTAGCTGAAAGCCTCAAAAATTTGTTAGCGCGATGTTGTTTAAAATTTACTTTCCTCGAAATTTTTTATCATATATTGTGAAATTTGATAAAGCCTGAGGCCTTTTTGGTACTCAAATATAATTGTGCAAAGAAAGCTCTTGAAAATTGAATTGTGACAATTTGGTTATAGTCAGCGTGAGCAATTACGGCGACAATGTTTGTATGAATCTAGATCAATCTGCTTTCGCTGATAAATTGATTTTACAAGATGCTTTTCTTGCAGTTTATATGACGTTGTGGCCATATGTGCACTTATTATGTTTTATAGAACAACATAAATATAAAGGGTTCATGGAATTGCTTATTTAGCCTTGAATGCTGTTAAATTTCAGTTTACTTATCTGATTTTGCTGTGAAATGAATCATATCATGCAATTTTGATGGCTGTTGTTGAGAGAAGAAAAAAAGAAGATATTAAGAAGAAGGTGGCTTCTGGGTTGTTATTGATATTTATGGCACAAAGGCTTTGTCCATTTCAATCATTTACTTCTATCATTCCTGAACATGTTTCTAGTATATTAATAGGTCATTGTGGCCGTGATTTACTTTTAGTCAGTTATGACATGTAATCTGAATACCTCCCAATGTGCGTGTGCTTGGTTGCAAAATCATGTCTGAAATGACTGCTGTTTCTTTCATTTCACTCAGATGAACTTCTATAATTTTTTTTGTAGTGTCTTTGAGCCTTGAAAACCGGCAGGCTGATTATGCGATTAAAAACAGATATTCTGGTGAAGAAGGGAGATATAGCTATATAGATTTTGTCCTGAAGAAAATTTTTGTTCTTTTTCATTTTGTAATATGATTACTTTTATTTTGACCTGAAAATTTTGACCTGAAGAAGTTTTTGTTAAATTAGCTAACATCATCCAGAAGTTGTAGAATTCGATTGGTACTCACTGTTGTTAAAACTTTATTATGGGGCAGGCTATATTCCCCCTATTTTGTTTATCATCGATGCAGGTATTAAATTTTGACAATTGATTGTGTCAGAGGCTTATTACTGTCATTTAAATCATTGATCAATAATGTTCTTCTAATCATATTTGGGCCGAGCACCTTCTTGCTAATTCTTCTTTTTTTTCTTTCTCAAAACAGCATCAAAATTGATGATATGATTCATTTCACAGAAATCAGATAAGTAAACTGAAAATTTACAGCTTCAAGGCTAAATAAGAATCCATGAACCTTATATTTATTGTTCTATAAACATAATAATGTGTCACATATGCAACAACGTGCATATAAACTGCCAAGAAGGCCCTTGTAAAATGCATGCTTACCGCCTTACACCTC